GGTTCCCTCCCAAAGCTCTTTGGATCTCACGACCAACTCCTCCAACTTAATCTTCCCCAAAATTGCATGGAAGTGTGGAAGTAGGCTTCATCTACACCAAGTGAAACAAACCAACCAAGAGCAAGAAAGGAGGCCAAGAAATAAAACTAAAAATGCTCAATTAGAAAGGATAAACTCAAGGGGAATATTGATGAGACAAAACACAAGGAATTCCAAGAAAGACAAGCAAAAAATTAAGACACATTTAAGAAGGCAAGAACTCAAAGAAAAATCCTAGAAGAGATCTAGAATAAAATTAAGTGTTTAAGGTTCCTTGTCCTTAAATGAAATCAATTAGTGTAAGGTCTCTTCCTTAATGTCCAGCCATGGTTTTGGTTATAAAATGGGTCCAAATATGGGTCCAAAAATGGTCCAAGTCCAACTCCAAGTGTGCAAGGGTATAATGGTAATTGTCTACAAGTCTAGCAACAATTTCCTTTTGAATTTTTTTTCTCTTGTATTTTTCCAGCCAGCTTTTGGTGCAGCCCCTCCGTCAGTTTTTTTTATTAATTTTAACCTTGTTATGTTGCTTGGTTTTTACACTTGTGGGTGAATTAAAAGTAGCACAAAAAAGTAGGAGACAAAAAGGACAAGTGGCATGCAAAAAACAACTTTTGTAAGGTGGAATTTGTCTTGTACTATGTACTAATTTGGTGCATTTTTTTTCAGCAAACAAACACACATTCTTGGCAGATTTTTCAACAACAAAACACTATTTGGTTGTCATACAAAGGACAAGGGACAATCATGTGATGATGAGCATGTAGGGGTGGCTAACCATGCATGTATAGGAGACAAATCTACATGGAATTCAACAAACTTTTAGAACATGTCATGAACTAAATAACATGCATTAATGACCTCTAAGAACATGCAAAATTTTTGTCCAGTCACTTAGGAGAGGAAACATGCATCATTCATTTCCATGTTACATACATCAAGTGAAGGTGTTGTGCATATACTTGGTATTTGGGTGAAAAAGTGAGAGAAACACAAAGTTGAGACAAAACCTGGACAAATAAAGATTAAAATGGGGTTAATAAAGTGTTCATCATGTTCTTGAAAAAATTTTCCAGCAAAGGTTGAAATGTAGAAAAACACAATAACCTATTTTAAAGGAAACTTAGAGCACAACAAAGGAAGGCTCTTAACCACTCAACAAGAAGACAACATTTTAAGTAATATTTGAGAGGATAACATCAAGACATATGAGAATACATAGACATGACAATAAACATTTAGAAGACACAAAAAAGAAGAGACAAGTTACCATTGAAGACAACCATGGCTCTTGATACCACATGATTGAACCAACTTCTCCATGAGAGCTAGTGGTTGATTCCTTATCTTCTCCAAGGTTGATATGATGTGAAGGATGATCTCTTCAAGGGTATGGAAGTGGGAGATTTGGTTTTGGGAAGCTGAAGGGTGACGCACAAAATGAAAGAGAGAAATGGATGGTATTTGGTGGTGTAGCTCCTTTAGGCTAGCTCACTTCACTTAGGATGATGAAGGCCAACCAAGGAAGACCCAAGCTCACTCAAGGAAGAGAGGAGAGGATAGGGGGCCATGGAGTTCCTAGGGGACTAAGGAAAGAATGAAGAGGCACTAGGCTCTCTCAATAGCATTAATTTCCAAAGTGGCTACAAGGTGGGTTACCTAGAGTACTTATAGGGAGAGAAAGGCATCTAGGGTTTCTAGGGAGCATTTGGCCGAAATTTTGGAGTGCAAATGCAACCTAAATGAACCGTAAATGCATCCCAAATGAAATGGCTCTCATCCCTCCTAAAAGACTAAAGTACCCTTAGGTCAAAAAAAGAAAGAAATGGACTTTTGACCTTAAAAATAAGGCTTAAGTCCTAAAATAAATCCTAAGACTAATTTTGCCCCATAATACAAAGGCTAAATAAAAATACAAAATAAAATCCTAATATCTAATGTACCCCAAAATATAAGGGTAAAATGGGAAAAGAAAGCAACAAATTAAGAAGAGGGCTCAAATTCTACACACATGATAATCATGGCCTTTGGTGTGGTGTGTTTTTCATATTCCTCTACTCTCCTAGCCATGGACCTTATGATAGGCGCTATATGATGCTTCAAGGATGGTCCTCCATCAACATTTTCTCCATTTGAGCAAATAATGATAAACAAGCTTGATGTTGTCATGGAGATGACAAGGAAGCATGAGTCCCAATATTCTGGCATTCCCATGATCATGAGATTGCAAGGATTAAGGCTTAGTTGGGAATTCAAGAGGATTCAGAATGACATACTTGGCTGGTGCTATGTTTTTTTTTTTGGAGTTTCATGTTTTGTTCTAGGAGTTTAGTTTCAATTTATTTTTTTTAATTCCTACTTCTAAGTATTTCAATTTAGTTGTAATGGTTTTAATTTACGAACAATTACGTTTGGTTAAATTTTTAATTTGGTTGTAATAGTTTTAAGTTTTGAACAATTTAATTCTGGTACAATTTGAATTTGGTTGTGTTTTGATATTGGATGATCATGGTTATTTTGGTTTGAGCATTGGTATACATTTAGGAGTCTTAAAATGATACACTTGCTATGCTTAATATTTGATATATGTGCTGGTACATTTGAAATAATGCTTATGAGAACATGATTGACTCATTTCTTGGAATAAATTATGTATACAATGTAACAAAATCTTTGATATGAATGTTGGAGTGACCTTTTTGTGCATACATACATATGGAATTTGCAATCTTATTTCTCTAAGTTGGACACATTGCTTTTATTAACTCTATTGTATGTTTTTGATGTTATCCAAAGGGGGAGAAAGGTTTTGAATTTGTTTTGCAGGTTTGTCTACTAACAAGGCATGAACAAGCTACTCATATTCTCAAGCAAGACATATTGGTTTGCAAAACATATTGATTTGTCATCATCAAAAAGGGGGAAATTATTGAGATTCATGGATGATGAATCAAACTCAGCTCTGAAGATCTGAGTGTTTTGATGATAACAAAGGACACAAGCTAATCAAGAAAGGAAGACATGAAGATCATGAAAGAATAAAATTTGTAATAGGAGTAGTTTATATGTAGTTTATGTGTTCTTATATGTTGAGTTGCCTTGTTGAGTTTATTTTGCATGTGTTTTCTTTGTGCATGAGTTAATCTTAGTCTAAATTGACTAAGAGTAAGTATGATGAGGATTCAAATAACTTGGAAAGTTTTTGAAGTGTGAAATCGAATTTTTTAAAACTAACTCAAAATAATCAATTATTACTAACTACAATTGATTATTTTAGCTCTATTTTTCAAGAGTTTGAGAAACCTTGCTGTAATAATCGATTATCTGTGAAATAATTGATTATTCTAGGAAGTACTGATGGACCATGGGCCAAAGGCCCAATTACTAGAGCTATGGCTAGGAGCATACAGGAGGGATTGGATAGCTTGAAGACTAATGGGCTTTCTAAGCCGAAGGTACTCTTCATATGAACCACCTTATCTTGAAGAGAAGGCCTAGTTCTATTGTACATAGTTTTCTTTGTATAAGTTTCTTTTTGCCTTTGTATTTGTGAGACACCTTGTTTCCTTTTTATAGATTATTTTATAATGAATTTAGAGTAGGTTCTTGGAGACTTTTACTATATTTGACCTTGTATTAAAGGTCATTCATTTTTACTTTTTCAGTAGAAGAAGTGGGGTGACAATTAGCAAGGCATGAGGGTGTGATTAGCAATTGGGACAGAATTGGGCTTAGGCCAAATTTTACATATTGGACTTGTTTTGCTCCATATTTTTCAAGAAATTGATTTAGCTAGGTTTCACCATCATTGGGTGAACCTAACTAAACCAAATCCAAAATCTTTGAAACGGATTAAGTGAGCAAACAAGCCCAAGGCTGCCTAGCTTCCTCTTTGGCCGAACTTGCTTCTTAACCTTGGTGTCTTTGGGAAGCTTGTGCTACAAGTATCTAACTTAGCTAGCTTCCCAAGAAAGCTAAGATAAAAGCTTGCTCTATAAGCCTCCTAAACTAGAGTGGACGGTCAAGTTAAGCTAACCGTGGTTCACTTGCCATGGTTAAGCTTAGCTTGCTCCCCAAGCTACCTACTTCTATAAATTCCTAAACCTATCATTTGTATTCACTTTTGGATATATGAAATCAGAATTTTCTCAAATTCTCAAATTCTTCTCCTTAAGAACTGCCACAAAGGAATTCCTCTTTTGTGCTTGGTTCCACAAGTTTCTTCCACTTCAAGGAAGAAATCGAACATCAAGATAGATGAGAAACACATAGAAGGGGGGATTGAATATGTGTGTGTGTGAACAAAAGAATTTTAAAACCTTTTTCGCAAAGAAACTGTCTTTCGTTCAGTAAAATAATATCAGTGAATGCTGAACAGAAACTACCCAAGATTGGTGTAACAAAATCATTTTGCGTCTGGGAGTTTCATTGTCTGCCCAGAGAAAATTCTTCTTAAAAGAAAACTGTTCTTTTAGGATAATCAATTGAACAAGTATGGTTTTCGTCTAAAGATAGTTTTAATAGACGATAAGCATTAGACGAAGTTTTCAGTATATTAAATCAATCAAAGAAAAGTGTGATTGAAACAAAAATATTACAAGTATTTTTATACTGGTCAACCCAAACTGAGCTACATCCACTCTCCTTCAAATGAAGGGTTTCACTAGATAATAAATTAAGTACAAGTATTGTTTGTTCAGCCTCTTTAGGCTCGTAGTGAGTATTATAGACCACCCAGGTCACGACCACTCCTGGTCCCAAGTATTCTCAACCACTTCTGGCTCGTCAGCTTCACTCACAAATGCTAGTATTCTTAAACCACTTCTAGTTTCTCGAGTATTCTTAACCACTCCTGGTTCGTCAACCTCACTTGCTGACGCTAGTATTCTTTTCTTAGCCACTTCTAGCTCTTAGTGAGTATTATCGACCAACTCCTGGACCGTTAACTTCACTCATCAACGCTAGTATTCTTTACTCAGCCACTTCTAGCTCCTAATGAGTATTATCGACCAACTCCTGGCCCGTTGACTTCACTCATCAATGCTAGAATTCTTTACTCAGCTACTTCTGGCTCGTAGTGAATATTCTTTGACAAGCCTCTCTAGGCTTTACAAGTATTCTTTCCCTATCCTCTTCAAGCTTTACAAATATCAACTAGGCAAGTTTGGTTTGAGTCTTTAGGTTACTCTCATAGAGAGGATACACGGGTTGATACACTCACTAAGGTTTTCATCCTTAGTTTTTTGCAACGATTGAGTGTGGTTTACTCTCATGGAGAGGATACATAAACTTGTTACACTCCCTAAGGTACACGTTCCTAAGTTACACTTAGAACTCCTTAGTCTATAGAGAGAAATACAATGCTACATTGTACATTTGACTATGAACGCTCGTCTCTGTTTCGTTGCTATATGGGCTTGATATCACCTTTTTTTTCGTATTCGAAAAGCCAACATTTTAAGGTTTAAGGTAGCAATATATATAGTCTTGTAGAATCTGCCCGTTGCAAGTGTCCGTTGAAGAAGATATAGTCATTTATGACTAGTTTGATCTTCTCATTTAATGCTCAGATCCTTGCATTAAATGTTTCTTCCCGTTCATGGACATTGCGTGTATTTTTCTTTGTCTTGTTAGCAGCTGTGTCTAAAATTAGCAGAGATCTAGGAACCTTTTTGTCCTTTTCCGGTCACGTAGCTATAGGGCGTTGTCCTTTTCTGAAAAGTAATGTACTTTTTTGACACACGCATGCTTTTACTTTTGCGTGCATTTCTTCTTCTTCTTTTCTTCCTTTAATCATGCTATTACGTTGAGAGTACTTACGTGATCGTAGACGATGTTTGAGTAGTCCTTTGAGACTTGATTCTTTAAGTGTTGGCATGACAGTCTTCGTCTGTGTCTATTAATCACATGCATCTCACGTCTTGTTCTCTATCAAAGTATTTGACATTGATGTTTTGACTTCTTCTATGGTCTGGTCATGTCGCCACCGGCCCGAAACGGGCTTTCGGCATT